CGGCCCCCCTTGTCAAGGGCGGGCCCTGCCTGGAGCTGGCAGGGGGACAGGGCTGCGGCCCCCCGTGCCCAGCCGGAGAGCCGAGGAGAGCCGCCAGCTGGGCCTGGGGAGGGAGGGGAACGGGACGGAGGGCAGGGATGGCGGGCTGCACCGGGTGTGGGGGCAATCCTGTGGTCACCGGGGAGCCGCCGAGAACGCACCGCTGCTGTTCAGTGTGGGCCTATGCTCTCGGCAGAAAGAGCGCGTGAACGCATGGCCATGAGCTCCGGGCACAGCGGCAAAGGTGCTCTGTGTATTTTTACGTTCTGCATGAGCTGCACCTCCAGCAGCCGGTGCTCGGACACAGCACGGGGTGATGCTGAAGGCAGCGGATGGAAGGACACGGCAGAGCGCGGTCAGGGGTGCTAGCAGCGTCTCCTGCCCTGGTGGCCCATCCTGCGCTGGCGGTGACCAGCCCGAGGGTGCCCACGCAGGCTGCACGCCGGGCATGCACGGCGCAGGAGGCTGGAGCCTCTGACACACGTCTTGCACCACTTTGGTGCTGGTGTGATGCAGGCGGGTGTGATTCAGGCGGTGGAAGCTTATCACCCCGGCTTTCAGAGGAGATAAGGGCCAACAGGAAGCATCTGTCAAACACCCGTACCTGTCCCCTGACTATTCGCTAAAGCCACCCTTACAGGCTGTACGTAACTGCAGGAATTGAATTAACATTTCACAATGTCCAAAAATTCTACGTCTCTGACTCCTGATTAATCATTCCTAAACAATTTAATGAAGGTAGTTGCAAATTTGCTTCCCTGAGGCCATGTACCAGAGCCCAACTGAAGAGCAAGGGAACTCTCCCAGTTACAGGAATACATTTGCATTCATCTTCCTTGTGGTTACCCTGAAACAATCATTTTTTCTTGTCTCTGGCCATGTCTGAAACCGCACTGTGTACTCAACAGTAACACACACACACAGGCTAGATTCAGATCAGAGATAATATCCTTAGTCAGTACTTAAGTAGGTGCTTTCCCAACTCTTCTTTCCCTTGGAATCTACTCCAGTCAGCATGAATTTGGCATTGTTTGTGTGCTTTTGCTTCCAGGCTAAAGTCTACTGCAGCAAAAATATGGACACAGATGTGCTTTTTATAGGAAATACCCCAAGTAAGAGGCACAAAGCTGGATCTTCTGATTTATGCAAAGCAGTGACAGCCACTGCACGCTGCCTGTTTTGATTTGGCAAAAAGAGAAGCCAGGATAGCGAGAGGGTCTGTTGGCTTCTCCACCTGAAAAGTCAAAAGGGGTCATATGCTGGCCACACCCCAAAACTCCCAGTGGTTACTTTTGATATTTTTTTTTTCCCTTTTCACATTTGCAAACTGCTTTGAAGAGAAAGTGCTTCAGTTGTTTGGCATTGTGAGGGCTGTTGCGGAGGCTGCAGCTTCTGAGGATACGAAGGTTTCCAGAACAAAGCCTCTGCCAGGATCGGGGATGCACTGAGGCCCTTCGCTACACCGACAAGGCAGCAGACGTGGCACACGAAGGGTCCCCGGCACAGGGAGAGGGGCTGGAGCGGCAGGGCTGTCCCACAGCGCTGCCTCCGCTGCCCGCTGGTGAGGAGGGCTGGTAGGGCTTCTCAGTCCCAAAGCAAGAAACCGGCTCGCACTTAATTGGTCTGATTTGAAAGTGTATTGACCCGTTCCACTCCACAGCACAGAGGAGGAGGTATTGCGGTTAAAGTCCTTGTGTAAAAAAGCCTGGCGCCGTCTTCAGGGACAGTCATGCCTCTGCTGCGCTGTCCCCTGGGCCACTGCGGGCTGTGCGGCCGCGGCAGTGCTGCCTTCCCGGGGGCTTCCAGGAACCAGCTGCCATCCTGCTTCCCTCCAGCGCGCCCGGGGGTCTCTGCCCCTCTTTGCGCACCCTCAGTGTCCTCTCTCCTGGGACTTCCATAAAGCCACTGCCTGGGGAACAGCAACCTGCGGAAAGCCATGACCGCAGCAGCCCACTGCCATCACGTTTGGAGCAGTGAGTTGTCCCGGGGTGGGGAATGCCGGAGCTGCTCAACAGAGCGTCAGGCTGAGGGGAGGGAAGGGAGCTGTATTCAGAGCCAAAATAGCACCAAGTCTACCAGTAGCATGGTTTCCATTATTGTATTTCCCTTATGAAATCCATTAAATGGATTAAATGGATTTCATAAGGGGCACTGAGCACCTCCATGGCATTTTGCAGAAGTGCTTTCCGACCTGCCCGCTCTGCCTCCATGTCCCGGTGCCAACGACCACCGCAGTGTTTTGGGAAAGGCCTCTCGCACAGCTGAGATTGTGTTGTGCCCCAGAGGTCAAGCCCTCATCTTGCAGCCATCAGACTGTCCTTCTGCTGGGCTGGTGGGCTTGGATGTTGTGCCAGGGACACAGTCCCGGTCCCCGGGCTGAGGTTCCCAGTGGGGCTTGGTGGGGAGGTTCGGCTGGGGACCAGTGGGGCTGAGCAGGAGGCAGCACTGTGCCAGCTGCATCGTCCCCTTTCTGCTGCTGGACTGACCATGCGCTGGCACTGCTGGGCTGCCGAGCAGCACTCGTGCCTCCGTCCTGCTGTGAGATGGCTGCACCCACAGGAAAGAGGTGGAAATCCCCTCCGCAGCGCAGCGCACGCGTGCACGGGGCCTTTCCTGCAGAGGAGCTTGTGAGGGGGAGGGTGGCAGGCAGGCGACGCCAGATGCTGGACCACGGGATGTGCCCAGCCGCGCCAGGCTGGGCGTCAGGGGCAGCCAGCAGCGTGTCTCATGCTGCTGAAGGGCTGTCTTTCTGAATCGGGGCTCATAGTAAGCAAAAAAGGAACAAAAGCATCTGGGGGCAGCGGTGAGAGCGGGGCAGCCTGTGATAGCAGGAGCCCTGTCCCGGGTATGGGCTCAGTCCCTCCCAGTTCTCCGTCTCCTTCCAGTTCTCTGCTGACTCAACGTAAGCTTTCCTCCAGTCCGGTTCCTTGCTCACGAACAAGTCTCGTAAAATCCTGACATCACATTTTTCTAGGGATTTTTCTAGGGATTACCACTCCCATGTCCCCGATTTTAAAGGAAGTGCTCGTCCTCTGGCAAAGCCTTTCATCTCCCACTCGTACATTTAACTCAGTCAAAATAGGTGGTACTCAAGGATCTTATTATCTGCTGGCAGGGAAGAAGCTGGCCTCGTGCCAGTTCCTTGGGAAGAGATGCTAACGCTACGAAACCATTGCTAACCAGCCTCAATCAGGAGCCTTGTCAGCAAAGTGGCCGCAGACCTGGCTTGCCTACCTACGGAAGCTCAAGGCAGCTAACTCGCTTTTAAAAATAGGCTAATTAAACTGCATTTATAAATGCCTATGTGGGACCACTTATGTTAATTAAGGACAATTTAAATGGACTTATTTAGTAGCATTTGGGAGTAAATTAAACTGAATTAAGGCACTTTAATTCTGAATGAGAGTTTCATGCAGAATTTAAATGCTCTTTAATCCACTCTAGATTTAGTTACTTCAATTTAACTTTCTTAAGAGTCCTGTGCAGACAAGCCCGGGGCAATGAGGGGCAGGAACGCCTGTACCTGCTCAGAGCCCGAGCTCAGGGCTAGAGCCTCTCTGGGAGGGGATGGGGACGGGGCTGGCTGCTGTGGGATCCGTGTGTTCCTGGCAGCTTTGGCATCCTAAATCCCCTGCTCATCTGCCGAGTGATCTAATGGCTCGTCTCGCCGCATTTACCAGTGTGCTCCTGGGTGATGCGAACAATACC